CAGCTCACAGCCCACCGCTCACAGCTCACAGCTCACCGCTCACAGCTCACCGCTCACAGCTCACCGCTCACAGCTCACAGCTCACAGCTCACCGCTCACAGCTCACAGCTCACCGCTCACAGCTCACCGCTCACAGCTCACAGCTCACAGCTCACCGCTCACAGCTCACAGCTCACAGCTCACAGCTCACAGCGCAGTTATTGTTGCAAAATTTCGATGATGCAACTTTTTCACCAGACTCGCCTGTCTCGGTTCTCTATACACGACGATCCGTTCTACACTCTATATACTTGACAATCCATCCACTCGACATCTATTCATTTTACGTTTTATTTACTCAACCATCTATCTTGACACTATATATCGAACTATCAATCAATCAATCCGTCCCATCGCCACCCTTCTCTCACGTTTTCTTGTGCCATACACTAAACATAGTTTACATATTCTGATGAAGGAAGCATTTATACACCGCATATATACCAACATATATCAAAATTGTATTTTGAAATGTTTGATAATCATAGCCTTCTTGGTTCACAGGTTCTGGAGAATTTGAGTAAGGAGCAAGCTGACTCTGGTAGTCGGATGGACAAGGTCACGTTAAGTCTCATTAGAGAGATCGGACGGAGCTTGGAGCGGGCTGGTCCTGCTTCTCCCGTTCACGAGGAAGCATGCTGCGGTATGGGTGAGTCGTCTACACACTCATGTTCACACTCTCATTCCCTCAGCGTGTGGAAACAGTGGCAGAGAAGTTGGATCCCGTTGGACGAATTGATTGTAAAATTCACTCAGAGGTGACAAGTCTCTGTTTGTGGTCAAGTTTAGCAATTACGTGATGGTCAACCGTGCACATTATTCGCCCACATTCAGGCTTTTAGTTTTTGAAGTAAGACATATTTAACTTATTTGTAATCTAAGGTTTGTGATGAGTGCGTTATTCTCCAGCCATGAGTTAATTCATTGTCTCTGCTCTGTGCATTCATCAGGCAACGTTCGCAAGATCACTCGGCAAATCGAAATGTCACAGCAAGTTGGAAATCAAAATCAAAAGATCGATCCCCCACCAGATGGCGCCTCAGTTCCTGGCTCAACCGTAAAGCGCAGTGCCTCTCCTCCAGATGGCAGCACATTACCCGGCTCAAACCCGAAGCGCAGCAGTGCACCACCAGGTGGCAGCACAGTATCCGGCTCGAACAGTGGCGTGCCAGCAGATGGCAACACCATATTGGGTTCAAACTATAAACGCAGTAGTGCACCACCAGGTGGCAGCACACTATCTGGCTCAGACCCGAAGCACAGTAGTATGCCAGCAGATGGCAGCACAGTACCCAGCTTGATCCCAAAGCGCAGCAGCGCGCCCGCAGGTGGCGCCTCAGTACCTGTCTCAAACCAAAAACAATGTAGTGCACCAGCAGGTGGCAGCACCGCATCTGGCGCAAACGTAAAGCATAATGGCGCGCCGCCGAACGAAGCAGCTGATGCAGTGAGCTCGCGTGTCGCCACGGCAACTGCATCCACACTCAGCTCAAAGAAGCCCACGCAATCCTCCGCGACGACCGACGCACCGCATCGCGACGAATCAAAAGGCGGCACGGTCGTAGAGGCGGCGGCGGCGGCGGCCGAAGCGACGTCCGCGGCGAAGCAACCACACCCAGGTGGCGCCACCGCAGCGACAACGGCGGGGGCGCCGGGGAAAAGCAAGGCGGCTGTGAAGTGCATCAAGCAGGCGATCGGACGTTCGCGCTCGGTCTGCTCCGCGGCCGTGACCGCCGGCGCCACCTTGCTCGGCCCCTCCGCCGCCTCTGCTGGTGCCGCCCTGCTGGCCGGGGGCGGCGAGACGAGAGCGGGGCGTGCGAACACGCACAAGTATCGCAAGACGTACCCGTTCGACGCGAAGTGTCGGACGGACAGCGTCGCGCAACGCTGCGCGATCTTCGACAGCACGCCGGCGCCCTCTAGGCGGTCGATCGGCGGCGGCGAGAAGCCGCGGGTGAGCGCGGAGAGTAAGTTCAACGCGCTGTTCGCTCGCGAGGAAGATCCGGTGCTGGAGATCCGGCGGACGCACCCGCAGGGACGCACGCACCCGCTGACACGGCTCAGTCGCCAGCGCTTCTACAACACCATGTGACACACCACCGCGTGACACGGCTACGTCACTGTGTGATATCGCTACGTCACCGCGTGACATATCACCGCGTGACACGGCTACGTCACTGTGTGATATTGCTACGTCACCGCGTGACACACCACCGCGTGACACGGCTACGTCACTGTGTGATATCGCTACGTCACCTCGTGACACACCACCGCGTGACATGGCTACGTCACTGTGTGATATTGCTACGTCACCTCGTGACACACCACCGCGTGACACCGCCACCGCGTGCACACCACCGCTGAACACGGCTACGTCACTGTGTGATATAAAGCTATGCCAGCGTGACAACGTCACCCTTGTGACAATATCACTCGCAGTGACACCTACGTCACTGTGTGATATGCTTATTCCACCGCGTGACACGTACCTTGTGACATATCACCGCGTGACCACGGCTACGTCACTTGTGATATGGCTATGCCACCGCGTGACATATCACCGCGTGAGCATGGCTACGTCACTGTGTGATATGGCTAGCGTCACCGGCGTGAGCACGCCACCGCGTGACCACGGCTACGTCAACTGTGTGGATATGCTATGCACCGCGCGTGGACAGTATCACCGCGTGACACGGCTACGTCAGCTGTGTGATATGGTATGCCCTGCGTGACACACCACCGCAATGACCATGGCTACGTCACTGCGTGACGGCGGCCACCGCATGACATGGCTATGCACCCACGTGACACGTCTAACCGCAATGACATTGGCTACGTCACTGTGTGATATTGCTATGGCCACCATGCGTGACATGGCCACCGCAATAATTCTGTATTACGTTCGCCAGGTTGTTGTTACTAAATGGCTGGTGCGATGCGTGGTGTGAGTGGGCACGTTCGTGCTCCCCGTAAGTCACAGATACCCTAAAACTACACGCACAAATGTGTTTAACAGACAACAAGGCTTTCGATATGCGG